GCTTCCATCTTCCAAGGGGAAAAACCCACAAAGGAGTCTGTAGATGGGATACAAGTTGTTAAAGACGAGCAGGGCAACCCCACGGGGCCGACCCAAAGGAGAACCTGAACGGGAGTGGGTCGGGAGCTCCCGCCAGGCTGGGTCGGGTAAGGGTTTACCCAAATTCGGAAAAGGTTTCTGAATGCGGGAGGTGCTGGTGTCGGTCTCGGGGGTGGCACCTCAGAGGTAAGCGCTTTGAAGGGAAGAGGAAGGGAAACGGGCCGTGGGACTTTCGGGTCCCTGGTTTTGAATCCCGGTGGGTCCGGCCAGGTCAGTGCTGAGCGAGGCTTTCTTTCCTCACCTGTGGGAAAAGCCCCTTGGGCTTCCGGCTTGGCTGTCCTGGAAGCAGGCAGCGGCCGAAGCGCTTGCTCTCCCTCTCAGGTGGCCCCTGGGACGCCTCCAAACTGGGCGGCGTCCCAGGTGAGCCGAAGACCTGCCAGGGAGGCGCAGCCGACCTTCACAGAGGCCGCTCCTGCAGCAGCTTTGGTGGCCCTGGGGAGATGATGCTGCCGAGGAGGGTCTGCATGGCAGCCGGGTGGCAGAGCCCCTCCTGGGAGACCAGCCGTGCCCACCTGGGGGCCAGTCGCTGGTCCTTTCTCACCAGGAGGGGAGGCAAGAAATGGGAGGAAGGAGGAGGGCGGGGGAACTCACTCCGACCTCTCCAGGTGGATCTCGCACCCGCCTCCCAGCTTGGCCAAGCCTAGCCTGATGAGGAGTTCTGCTAGATGCCAAAGGCCGCCTGTGTCTGAGGTGGTCTTGGTATAATAAAAGCAGCGAGGGCCAGAGGCAGAATCAGGAGGCTTGGGTTCAGATATCAGGGAATTGGCCAGGGAATGCAAACTTAGGGGTTGGAATGGCAGCCAACGAAGGTCTGAGAGGGCTTTGATTTGCTCGAAGAGCCCTTCGTTGATCGATGCTTTGTTTTTGGTTCATTTGTCCTGTGCACCTTGCCTGGGTACTAAAGACGGCACGCAGGCCACCAGCCTCTGCTGCCCAGCGCCCTCGTGCTTTGAGGGGCAACATGGAAGTGAAGGTCTTTGGTTGAAGCCAGGTAAGCGCTGGAGAGTCGGCCGAAGAGAGGGCACCTCCGTCTGAAAGAGGAGCGGCTGTCCTGTGGCAGGAGCTCCTCGAAGGGAGAACTGCCCTTCCATAGGAGGACCGGTGGCACCCTTGTCCCTAGCCTCACACGGAGCAACTCCTGCGCAAAGACCATCCACGAGGCGCTGGGGGATCCAGGTGCCCACCGGGGAGTGGGAGGACCCCAGGAAGAGAAGGGAGGCCTCCGTGGCGGGAAGGAGGGTTGCCCGCGGAGGCCCTGCCCGGTGGCTCTGGACTGCCACCAGCGTCCGAGGCCTCCTGCTTCCGGGTGCCGGTCATGGGGCAACGTGAGCAGGAGGGAGAAGCTGCCCCCCCCCCAGCCGAGCTCCCCAGGGACCAGAGGTTGGCTGCCTTCCCCAGAGAGATCTTCTTACCCTCTTACGTTCTGATGGAGGAAGAAGTGAGGAAGAACTTTCTGTCCAGGCAAAGAAGGCGTTTCTACTTAATCTGATTAAGCCCTTCTCTTTTCAGGGACACAACGGGTAGCTGGTTCAGGCCGCCTCCCTGAAACGTTTAGAGTTACTGGCCCCGGATAGATGAATCCTGTCTGTTTTCTCCCTTCTCCGCTTGCTCCCTCCCTCTGGGAACAGAGAGGCTGGCCTGATTCCCTGGCAGCTGTGGTTGTGCAATTCTGTCTCGTGGACCCTTGGGGGGGGAGTCCCTCTTGGGAAGCTCAGGCTCAGGGGACCCCACCCCTCGCATTTTGCTTCCCACCTGGAAATGCAAAACAAGTCCCTTGGCAGCGCAGGCACCACGGCGGATGGGGACCCGGGCGAGAGCCTTCTCCGTGGCTGCTCCCAGGCCCTGGGACGCTCCTCTTCCAGCCCCTTCTCTTCTCTCCTTCCGCCGATAGCTGAAGACCCCTCTCTTCAGGCAGGCTTTTAACAGTCATGGTTTTTTTAAGAGTTTTTAACATTTTACATGCTTTTGATCAATGTATTTTAATCACTTTTATAGCTGAATTGTTTCTTTTTAAATGTCTATCTTAATGGTGTTTATAATTCTTTTAATTCTTGCAATCCTTTAGCTTGGGGCTTCCTGCTTTCCCAGAGAGAGAAACAAGTCCTTTCCAGCTGTGCAGTTCTGTGGTTCTAAGACGAAGAGGGAAGCGATGCCCCAGAGACACCCCCCCCCCAGCTGCCTGCCTGACCTGCCTCTTGCCTTCTCGTGGCCCCCAAGCTCTTTCTCCCCTTCAGAAAACAGAGATCTTGCCTGGGACTCCAGACCCAACACAAAGAGAGCATCCAGCTGTCTTCAGTTATGTGTGTGTGTGTGTGTGTGTGTTACATGGGGTGTTACGTGAGGGGGGGGAGGCGGCCTGATGGTGGCCTTCTCTGGGCTTGCACTAGGCAAGGATGACCTCCTCGGCTCCAGGCAAAGGGCCAGATGTTCTTTGCTGCCTCTGGGTGTTTCAGGCCAAATTTTTAGACGTCCACCGAAATGGCCAAGAAGCGCAGGAGTCTGTGGAGCCCAGGCCCCAAGGGTAGGGGTTAGACCCCCCCTCCTGCTTAGACCTTGGCCTCTCCCTGAAAGGAGTTCAGACAAACATTCAAAAATGGGAGGAAAGCGGCAATTTCGCTCAAAGAGTTTTTCCAGGCTCCTTTGCCGAGCAGAGGAACGTTGTGGGTCTGAAGGGCTGCCAAGCCTTCTCGGGGTTCAGCCCTCCTGCAAGTGCCCTGTCCCGTCATCGCAAAGGTCCCAAAGGCAGGTGGGCGCGCGAGCGTCGGAAGCGGGTCTTCCACGCCTGAGGGCTCCCGGGCCGATCATCGAGCCTCAGGCAGGAAAGTCAGAAGGTTTTGGGTGCACCTGAAACGGGGGCTTATTCTGAGCCGTTTTGTTTTTCTGTTTTTAAAACGTTAGTGGATGTGCACCCTCACTTTATATATATATCTTAAGTTATTCAAGGAGGTGATCAGAGAGCAAGGAAACCACAGAGCTATAAAGACAGAAGGCAACAAGGAAGAGGACTGGGATGCCGCAAAGGGGATGTGATGATGATGATGATGATGCCATGCGTGGGGAAAGGAGCAAGAGCCACCAGGGCCACGAAAGTAGGAAGGGGGAGGACATCCCTCTCTGCCACGTGGCAAGAATTGTACAAACTGCTGGGTAGCTCAGGGTGTTTGATTCCCCCCGCAGCCCCCCCCGGCCTCCTTGACAGGAGTTAAGAAAACTAGCTCTGCGGTTCTCAGATTATAATGATTATAATTATAGCTCTGTGGTTCTCAGATTATAATGATTATGATTATAATTATCTTTAAAGGACTTCTGGGTAGCTCAGTGGCATAGGTCTCTGGCTGCAGAGGCCAGAGGCTGCGGGGGGGGCGATTCACCACGGCCCCTCCTTGACAGGGGCTGGACTTGATGATCCAAAGGGTCCCTTCTGGCTCTGCAGTGCCAAGATGATGATGATGATGACAAGGGCACAGAACCTCTGCAAAGCAGTCACAGTGTAGGGGGTTCACAAAAAACACCAAAGGTACCCCACCGTTTACCTGTGGCAGGAAAGAACGATGCAAATGGGGCTTTGCTACAGGTTTTCCCTGTACTTTTTATGAACAGCAGAGGTCGGGTGCAGGGCTTCATCGGCCTGTGTTTGGGGGGGGGGGCTGCATGATGAATGGGTGCCAAAGTGCAAATTGCCAGGTGGAAAGGAGGGCAGGTGATAATCAGGTTGCATAAGTTCAGTACGGGGTTGCATAACCTCAGTAGCAGCTTCGAGAGGAAACGCCATCTCCTTTTACAAAACAGGCTTGGCAAAGCTTTTACCTCCCACCTGCTTGCCAGCCGGCTTACAGGAGACTCTTCTCAAATCCAGTCATGGTTCTCCTGATTCTCCTGGCCCTCTGGATGTAAAATGGATATGTTTCTTTTAACATATCGTTTCATGAATCGTTTCAGCAAGGCCTGCCAAAAGGGGTGTGAAAGAAAATGGTACAACCACAGAACATGGAGAGAGCCACTTTGGAGAGAAGGGTCAAGGGGACAGTGGCTCCCCAGGGGAGCTCAGGGTGGGTCAGAACCCATTGGCCTGTAAGCCTTGACCGGCCAGGGACCCTCCTCCAGCAGGGGCCAAAGCAGGGAAGTGCAAATCTGCCTTTCACACCAACTGAGGAGAGGGAGCTAAATCTTTCAGAAAATAGAACTGGGCTTCAAGATGACTTAGAATCCAGTTGAACAACTGGGCCAAAGCCAACAAAATACATGGGGAAAATGTAAATATAAGTACTACGTTTTTAGACCATAAAAGTCAGATGTGCAATACGGGATGGGTGACCTCTGACAAGGACGTTGTGGCTGTGAAAGGGGTCCTCTGGGCATTTTAGCTGATCACAAGCGAAATGCGAGTCAAGCGTGTGATGTGGTGGAGAAAGAACAACACCCACTCATGCCACCCTTGGCAGTATCAAGAGAGGCCTGGCATCAACATCAGGACCAGACAAGTGAGAGAGGCCTCCACAGGAACTAGGATGGCGACAAGAGAAGTCAAAATGCTCCCCACCACCACCCCTCCCCGCCATCCCACTCCCAATCCCACTTTGGTCAGACCTCACCTCGAATCCAGTGTCCATTTCAGGGCATCCCATTTTTAAAAGGATCCTGACAAGCCGCAAGCATTTGGAAGAGCAGGAACAGATCTGGAAAACAAGCCCCACACGAGCAACAGCCGAAGGCATTGGACTGCAGAGAAGAAGGCTGAGGGGGTGATAGGATGATTGTTGTTGTTGTTTAGTGATTAAGTCCTGTCCGACTCTTCGTGACCCCATGGACCAGAGCACACCAAGCCCTCCTGTCTTCCACGGCCTCCCGGAGTCGGGTCAGATTCATGTTGGTTGCTTCAATGACCCTGCCCATTCATCTCGTCCTCTGTCGTCCCCTTCATCCTCAAATATTTTAAAACCTGTCATGTGGAAGAATTGTGTTTAGACTTGAGGAAGAACTTCCCAGGAGTAGCAGCTGAGCTGTTCAAAGATGGAGTCGACGGCCTCGGAGGCTGGGTGACATTTGAAACAGAGGCTCCATGGTCACCTGTTAGGGAGGGTTTGGTGGGGTGGGCTTCCTGCTTGGCCGTGGACTGGGATGTGAGTACTGGGGGAGTCTCTCATCCTTCAGGGGGGACCTGCTGCCCTCAGGTATTGCAAGGACAGTCACGAAAGCCTGATGTGTGGAAGATGAGGCAAATTTGTTGCTCTCTAGAGGCTAGAGGCTCTCTAGAGGCTCCTTCATGGATTGCTGCCTTGTCACAAACCAAAATACGAACCAAGAAATTCGTCAAAAGTCACTGGGCTCGTTGGTTTGGGTTTGTCAAAACTGATGAACCAACAGACCTTTTTAGTGATTTCCTGAACGTCCTGGCTTGTTTGCCCACTTCCCCCACAGCCTGCCTTGAGCTGAGCCTGCTGGCTCCGTGCAGACATGGGCATGCACAGAGGCAAGGGAACGGGTTTCTGTAAGACGGGCCTGCGATCTCTCTGCGCATGTGCTGGGCTCCCAGTGGCTCCCAGATCATCAGGGAAGTCAGCTGGTACCAATATGTGGCAGTGAGCTGTGTGGCTCTGGATTTGGGCCATGTGGCACAGGAGCGCCCATTTGCAGCCAGAATGTTGATGGAGGAGGAGAAGGAGGCAGGAGGGCAGCAGAGGGGTGGGGCTTTAATTTGTTCTCCCCGCAGGCACAAACTTCAGAGCACAGAGCGCTGTCCTCTGAAGATGCCCATGGCCAGAGAGACTGGCAAAACATTAGGAAGAACAACCTTCAGAACACGGCCAAAGAGCCTGAAAAACCCACAACAACCAACATTTTTTTTTTTTTACTAAACATACTGGTTCGTGGTTCAGGTTTTAGAAAACATTTTGAAAGTTCGTGGTTTGTGAGTAGCCACAAACCATGAAACACCATGAACCCCCATTTTCCTGGTTCTTTCCCCATCTCTAGCTAGGACTCAAAACAACAGGTTGAAACTGCACGTAAGGAGATCTGGCGTAAAAGGGAGGAAAAACTTCTCCACAGGAAGCCCTTCTCAGCAGTGGAGTAGGATGACCTTGCCCAGCGGAGGGTCTCAAGCAGGAGCCCAAGAGCGGTTGCCTGAGCCCTCTTTTTCAATTCCTGACCCCCCCGCACGGAAACTTTGGTTCGACTTTGCAGGGCCAGCCCCTGCCCAGGACTAGGAGGGCCACCTGCAGGATTAGGGAAGGCTTTGTCTGAGGGGAGGAAACCTTTTTAATCCCAAAAAGCCATCCTCTCCTGTCCAGCCCCCAAACACCGTCCTGAAACGGGATCCCTGTTCAAAAGCCATCCTCTCCTGCCCAGCCCCTCAAAGACGGTCAGCAAACACCGTCCTGAAACGGGATCCCTGTTCCCTCCGGCGGGCCTGCCCATCACCAGGCGGGCCGGTGTCCGGGTCTCCCTTGCACAGCTCAGCCCTATAAAGGCGCAGCGGCCGGTGGAAGGTCTAGCCTGCCCGTCATGGAGCTTGGAGGGGCTCTGACGGCCTTCCTGGGCACCTGCGTCTTTTGCTTGATCCTCGTCTCTGCGTGGAAGACGAGGCGCAAGACGGGGAAGCTGCCCCCGGGGCCGACCCCCCTGCCCTTCATCGGCAACTTACTGCAAGTGAAAATCGACGAGCCCTTCAGGTCGTTCCTGGCGGTGAGCGGTGCTTGCGCTGGAGAAAACAGGGTTGGGGGTGAGGCAGGGATGCCTGAGCAAGAAGGGTCAGGCCAAGAGGCTCAGCGTCCTTGGGCTCCCCATTACACAGGAGGGATCCGGGACCCCCTGGTCTCCAGTAAGTCCCTATTTCCAACCGCCTGCTTCCATCTCTCTCCGCTTCCTCTGGCCTTTCTCCTGCAGCTGAGAGACCAATATGGCCCCGTCTTCACGGTGTACCTGGGGCCCCGGCGGGTTGTCGTCCTTTGCGGGCACGAGGCGGTGAAGGAAGCTCTGGTGGACCAAGGGGAAGACTTCAGTGGGAGGGGAGAGCTGGCTTCCCTGGACCGGAACTTCAAGGGGTTTGGTGAGCGGACGGGATGTGGGGCAAGCTCTGGAGGGTGGATGAAGGGTGGACCTTCATGTCTACCGAAGGAGACGTGGTGCTGTGAGAGCGGAGGACCCCGTGAAGCATTTGGGTATGGGGAGCACGTAGGGAGAGAAGACAGCTTTTCCCACAGCAAGAACGACCTTCGTTCCTTCCTTCCTCGCAGGAGTGGCTATGGCCAACGGGGAGCGATGGAAGCAGCTCCGCCGCTTCTCTCTCATGACGTTGAGGAACTTTGGGATGGGGAAACGGTCCATCGAGGAGAGGATCCAGGAGGAGGCCCAGTACCTGTTGGAGGCGTTCCGGAAGACGGAAGGTGGGTCTCCTCGGCCTGACCTGCGCTATGCGCTAGCCTCGTCGGGGAAGAGGGGAGCAGGGAACGGTGGCCGTGGCCCCTAACGGCTCTCCCGGTTGCCTTTGCCAGGTCTCCCCTTTGACCCCACGTTCTTCCTCAGCCGCACCGTCTCCAACGTCATCAGCTCGGTGGTTTTTGGCACCCGCTTTGACTACGAGGACAAGACCTTCCTTGCCTTGCTGCGCATGATGAACGAGAGCTTCATGGAGATGAGCACCCCCTGGGCCCAGGTAAGGCAGCGCAGCTGGAGGACCCCCCCCCCCATTTCTCCTTCCTCAGGTGGGGCAAAGCGGTCCAGAAGCAGGACTTTCGACTCAAGAGAGACAGGAGGAGGCCACGAATACTTTCCTTGCTTTCCACTCTTCTGAGTGTTTATAGGACCGGTATTTCAAGGGCGGACCTGCTTTGCCTCCCTGCCTTTCACGATGGAGAATCCCTCCTTTTGCTGGTCGAGGGGCAGGGTCACCCTCCTTGTGTGTTTTTCTCCGTAAAGGATTTTCCGTGGGGAGATTAAGGGTGGAGGAAGCGGGGGAGAAGCCAAGGAGGGCTGCCCGCAGGGAAGCTGGCTTTGTCTGCGTCCCCACAAAAATGCTGTGATGGGGGCGTGTGACAAGTGACTGATCCAGCTCGCTTTTTGGACCACCTGCGACATGGTCTAGTTCAGTCTTTTTTTCTGGAGACCAGATGATCCCGGCCGGATCCTGCTCTGTGCCCAAACAGGACCTTTTTGATCCTGCAGAAGGGCTGGAGTGATTGGGAGCCGATTTTGTGCGCGTGGAGGGGAGGCTGTAACGATGGCCCCCAGCAAAGCAGCCCTTTGCAGCAGAAGTCTGTATTGCGTCCCGGGTGGTGGAGGGACTGGAGCATGAAAACCACATGCGCTGTTCCCCTCTTTTCCTTCCAGCTGTATGACATGTATTCCTGCGTCATGCAGTACCTGCCCGGGAGGCACAATCGCATCTACAATATCATTGAGGAGCTCAAGGGCTTTGTTGCTGAGAAAGTCGAAGCCAACCAAGAAACGCTGGATCCCGACAACCCACGAGACTTCATCGACTGCTTCCTAATCCAGATGGAGAAGGTGCCGGAAGGAAAAACCCTCTTCCTGTGTGTGTGTTGGGGGCGGGATTCCAAGGAAGACCCAAACTGGGGCTAAGACTCAGAGTTCTGGAAAAGGAGTTGGGAGTTGGGGTGTGTGTGTGGAAAGGAAGGAGAGGAATCGTTCCCCGAAAGATGCAAGATCTGTGGCACCATCAAGTTTAGGATATTCTGTCCAGCTCTCCAAATCCCAGTTCCAGAAGGGGACACCATAACACTGAAGAGCACGCAATGGAAAAGGGCAGAAAAGGGGCAAAGTGATGGGGGGGGGAGAGAAGCAACTCCCTGGGGAGGAAAAGCTGCAACCTTTTGGGGCTCTTGCGCTGAGAAGGCAGGTGGCCTCGGGGGTTGAACTGGACACAAAGCAGACGGTTCATCCCCCCCCCCC